AAATAACAGTTTTCTGTTTTAAATATATTTTAAAATGTTATTTATTCCTGTGATGGCAAAGTTGAATTTTCAGAAGCCATTACTCAAGTCTTCAATGTCACATCATCCTTCTGAAACCATTCTAATATGCTGACATTTCACATTATTATCAGTTGAAAACAGCTGTTCTGTTGTGTTATGCGGTGTATATATTGTGATGCATCTATTTACTGATGTTAAGTCTGAGCAATGATGAAAGCCTGAGGTGTCTTTGATTGACAGGTCCTCCCTCCTGAAGTTCTCACACGGGTCAGTGAGTATGTGCCAGAGATTGTGGCATTTGTCAAAGGAATTGTGGACAACGGTTATGGGTAGGAATGGAGCTGTCTTCTTTCTAGATTTATTATTTTGATATTTCACGATATATAACCCAGAAAAAACACTACTTCCAAAGAATATGTCTTAGAATTTATTTCTGCTCTTTTCTCACAAGATACGAATCAAATGGATCGGTATATTTTGACACAGCAAAGTTTGATTCCTGCCCTGCTCACTCTTATGCCAAACTAGTACCAGAAGCCGTTGGTGATCAGAAGGCTCTTCAAGAAGGAGAAGGTACAGGACTAAATTGCAATGCGTCCCTTAAAAGGATTTGCACTTTTATTTTTATTTTTTAAAATGGGTCTTTGAGAAGTACAATAAAAGTATCCAGTTCGACTGTCTGTAATTTCCATGCCAATAGATGTGGAATGGCAATGCAGTTTTGCTGTAATACATTTGTATTGATGCACACCAATAGGGCAGAGGTACTAGATAATGCATACAGCTCTATAATAATCTGAGTAGTGGATACAACAAGCCAAAATGATCCATTGTATAACAGAATGCTATGGCAGGATGCAGGTTTCTTGTACTCTGATTTTTATTTTTTTAATTTTTTTTTGCTATTTCATGTCAAGTGTCTTCTTCGGTGTTCACCTGGACATTGAATTATTATTTTTTTCTTTTGCAGGAGAATTGAGTGTCTCAGCAGACAGACTCAGTGAAAAGAGATCACAGAATGACTTTGCACTGTGGAAGGCCTCCAAGCCTGGAGAACCATCTTGGGACTCCCCTTGGGGAAAGGTGAGGAAGTACACATCTGCAAAACATGCATGTTTAGAAAATAAATAGACGAACATGATGCCTTAAAATGCCTCCTGAGTTGACAGCTTAGTAGTTTTAATATAATAAAACAAAGTTTTGAATGCATCAGTAATGTTTGTAAGTTTAATACTTGAAATTTGCCTGGGGCTGTTAAAGGGGAGACCTGGGTGGCATATTGAGTGTTCCGCCATGGCTGGATCCATTTTGGGAGAGTCAATGGATATCCATGGTGGAGGTTTTGACTTGCGTTTTCCTCATCATGACAATGAGTTGGCGCAGTCTGAGGTGAGAAAATTACAATGTGCTCATATGAAAAATGTCAATTATTAAAATCCAGTTCATTATTTTCTCCAGGTTAATGCTACATTCACGTCACAGTGGAATTACAATAATTGCACATTTCCGACTAGTTAAACCATTCATGTCTTTGTCAAACTTGTAATTAAACACATATTTCTGTTTGATATGCATGCTGTTATAGCCACTGAGACAGTGCGCTTTTTTATTCTGCAAGAGCATATAGAGGTGAAATAATGTAGTGATTAAATATTTTGCTGTCATCAACTACAAAGCCGCACACGGATACATGTTGGTGTTTTGAGCATTGCCACGTAAACAGATGTTTCTGGTTATTATTAAATCTGAAGACTAATGATAAAGAACTTGATCCTGGCCCTTGGTTCTTGTGTGTCACACCTTTACAATTTTATACAATATGTTTCCTTTAAATAATTGATTATTTATTTATTTATTTAACAGGCTTATTTTGAGAATGATCACTGGGTACGATATTTCTTGCACGCCGGTCACCTGACCATTGCCGGATGCAAAATGTCCAAATCTCTGAAGAACTTCATTACTATCAAATATGCCCTGGCCAAACATACAGGTAATCGTGCTACAATTGCAGTATTATTAGAATCGCTGTTACATATTTAGATACATATTTAGTTACATGTATATCTGCATATGGGTCAAAGACTTTATGCTTTTTTGGTTTAAATTTATAATCCCCCCCCCCCCCAAAAAAAATGTTTTTGACTATGAATAACCTGTATGTTTTCAATTTCCAAATAACCTTTATTTTTGATATTTTTTATTGCTACTATTATTATTTGAATGGTTTAAAGTAAAAAAAAA